CACCCAGTCAGGCAGCCAATCCGTCAAAGAGTACAGGCTGAACAGCGTAATGAAAGGCGACAATTCAGGCGGTGCAGAAAACAAGGGCTTGACGGAGGTCTGTTTGAAGTTGAGATCATTGATCGCCTCGGACAAGGTTTCGGTGCCCCGCCAAGCCACATAGATTTCTCGGCGTCCGGTTTGTTTGGCGTAATCGTCAGAGGAGACAGCGATGTAGCCTTGGAAGTTGGCGCCGGGCTTGACGAGCCACAGCAGTCCCTCCGGCTTTGCAGTGGCGTACAGAAAGTCGACCACTTTGTAGTCGGAAGGGGAGGGGAAGTGGGTTTTGGTGAGGAGGTCTTCCTTGCTGTAGAGGCAAGAGCCGTAGTCTTTGGAATTTGTGTCTTTGTTGAAGGCATCATAGGTTACCTGTAGCAAATAGAAAAACTTCGCATATTGTAATATATGGAAATTACGAATTTCTTTTTAGAAAGTATACGATCATTATAACTACCTCTAGAATTAGGAGAGTGTTTAAGCTAAATTGTGTATTCTACATGTAATCTATATTAAGAATGCTGCAAGGATATGTTAGTAGATTGTCACATGTCTTTTACTACTTTTAGGGGCTGTTTGGTTCGTTTCCTTGATATAGAGAAATGCAATTCCATGTAAAGAAGCACAAGTTTTGAGTTTTCCAAACTTTTTCAAGAAATAGATTGTTTTGCTTTGGTTCGCACATAAAAAATAGTGAGAAACCAATGTATTTATTTTTCTTGTGTTTGGTTCGCATAGAAAAAAAAGAAAAACTTTTGTAAAGATAGAAAAAAAAGAAAAACTTTTGTAAACAAAGCAGAGAAGGAAAAAAAATCTGACGTGGCAGAGTTTTTATCAATTTCACTTGGTTGAGGAAGAAAATCGGAGAGGGAAAAAAATCTTAGTTGGCGGCGATTTCAGCAGAGTTTTCCCTCTTCTATTCGAGCGAACCAAAGCGGCACAAAGAAATGGACGGAAACAAAAAAGCTGACGTGGATGGCTAAAAATCTGACGTGGAGGAGTTTTCTGAGTTTTCCACCCCTTATAATAGCGAACCAAACAGCCCCTTAGTTCGAACTATGAATTGTTTAATGAATGTTTATGGAAGATTGTGATTTCTTCTAAATATAACACATACCATATCCTCGAGAATTTTAGGCACTCTTATTTTGCGCTGAAGAAGAAAAATTACAATTAAGCATTAAAAAAATCAGTGGTTTCAAATAAAGTACTATCTAGTTACCTCGGCCATGTCACCCCAAAGGAGGAGCCACTTTCGGAGGAAGAAGTTCAGCGGGTCCAACAGGCCGGCCCACTTGTTGGATCCGAGGAGCTCGGCCCATTCTGGCTCCCTAACGATGATGCTGTTCGTGGTGGCGGTCCTGGCGGAGGACTTTGCTTTGGCCTTAGCGGGTGATGTTTCAACAGCTAAAGTAGGCGCCATTGCTAAATCTAGTGATTAAGCAAGATTTCTCTCTAGTATTATATGATATATTATGCTAACAGGCGAAATGAAGTTCGATGCTCTTAGTTGAGGATATGAGGTCAGCTTTTATACAAGTTCATGCATGACCAACGTCATTAAAAATATACAATACTTTTCATGCATGCATGACCTAGTCAATGAATATATATTTTTTAGTGGCGACCTAGAGTCAATAAATATATTTTTTAAGTGACGACCTAAGTCTTTAAATAAGGATTTTTATAAATTCACTTGATGAGTAATCATTCCCATAATAATTGGAGCTTGAAAGCTTACTAATTTTGGTATCAGATTACTAATGTAAGAAATGTCCAATCATAAGGCATGTTCGGGAACTTTGACTTATAACCTACTTTGTTTATAATCCACAAATATTACAAGTTAGGTGGATTATAATCCAAAGTGTTTGATAAAAAAATATATTATAAGCCGCTTTCAATAGGATAGTGTTTGGCAAATGGACGGATTATAATCAATCTTTATTATCAAAATGATCAGATTGAACGTGACTCTAAATTCAAACTTTGAATAAATTTTAAAATTATCTTAAATGTTGTGGAGTAAACTTGACATTTACTTGGTCAAACTATATAGTTTATAAAGCCACCAAAAAATAAGTCGGGTTAGAAGAGCTTATTTTTTGGACTTATAATCCAAAATAAATCCGTTGCCAAATATGTTGCAGTGGCTTATAAGCCATTTTGACTAATTTCCAAACATGTCTGAGTACGTCAATGAAACTTTCATGTATATTGTTTTCTATAGGTTTGTAACATCCAAAGTCGATAGTCGTTATGAAGAGTCATCCAAACTCGAAGTGGAAATATTACAAGTGTTTTCTTTTCTTTCTTTTCCACAAATCATCATGAAGATAAATTAAATCAAGTATAAGCTAAGCAATGACATTATAAAAAAACAAGAGTGAACATGAGAAATCGTACTTGCTGTTCTCTTATCCGTTCCACGAGTTAAATTTTTTGACAACCATCCTATAAGGTCAAGTTAACAGTAAATCTCGAAAAAATAACAAGCTCAATGGTGAAAATTTAGAGAAGGCGATTCGGAAGGCGATTCGAAGAAACGGCATCTCGTGCCGTGAAGCGACGTATAGTCACTTTCAAAACATGTAACATCACCATTACTCCCTTCCTTTCGCCCTACCACCCACAGCTCCACCAGAAAAAGCACTTCAACTGCCTCCCCAGCCAGTTAGTAAACCCTTCTCCGCCTTCCTCCCCATCCTCTCTCTTCCAAATTCATCCCCTCCACCACTTTTCTCCTCCTTTGCTGATCTTTTTAAGGGGAATACCCCTAACCCCCCTCCATCTCAACCCATCCCTACTAGCCAAAAAGGTATTCTCCCTACTCCTAACTCCGGCTGGATTCAAGTTGTCAACAAGAAAAAACAAAGATGATCCCGCCTCCTTTCCGTCCGCAAGAACCATCTCCCCTCTTCCATACCTAAAAGGTGTTTTCTTTGCGGTGACAAAACCACACATGGCCAGATCCTACAACATTAGCAACTTCAAATGCTTTGCATGCAACTGCATAGGACACACTTCCGTTTGTTGTCCTAACAAAAGGAACCCCCTTCTTCCCTCCATCATCCCTCCACCTTCAGAACCCCTTCATCGATCTCCCGGATTCGGTGTTAGACAACATGGACTCCTTCTCACGCTTTGCCTTTTTCACTCTCCTAGTTGGTTAACCCTTATTCGAGGACCTCATTGCCAACTTAGAATATCACCTGAAAGTGGACAGATGAATCTACGACATCAGGCCCACATCCTCCAAGTCATATTTTATCTAGTTCCCCAATGAGGAAACTCTAGATCTGGCGTGCTCTAAGGACTTCTTTAACATGGGCACCTTTGGAGGAGTCTTCGTCCCTTGGACTGAGAAGATAAAGTTAAAGCCCCTTCCAAAGTTTATTTTATGTCCAGGTTGAGATTTCAAACCTCCCCCCCCTCCACTTGTGGGACATGGAGTTTCTGATGCAACTTCTTGGAGACATCGAGGATGTAGTTACGACATCTGATGACATTATTCTTAAGAAGAGAGCTAAGGAATGCAAGGTGATACTTGGCATCCGAGATGCTTTAGAGATCCCTCGTTCGGTTATCTTTCATTATCCCTCGCCTGATGGTGAGCATCTCATGGAGGGCAATATACAACTTAAAGTGGTTGGAAAACCACTTACGGAGAGAAAAGGGAAGTGCCCGGAATACTTTAAGAATTTTGTCTGTAAAGAAGGTGTGTCCTCTACCTCTTCTGACGAAGTCCCCCCAGTCATCTCAAATACAACTATCTCCAAGCAACAACCCCCAATGGCTCCTTCCCCAGGCGTTGGCGGATCATCTATTCCCCCAAACCTTAAGGGCAAGAAAGTTATCTCTAAAGTAGCGAGAAAGTCCAATGTCTCCAAATCTCATTCAGAGGCACCATCTCCATTCCTAGCTGTTCATCGTTCGGTTTCAAAAGATCTTATAGAAGTTGTTTTCAAGGGGGTCCCCATCCACATCGTCACAAACTCGTAGGCTCTCCTCTACCTCTTTCCCCGCCTTATCGGGAGGTCCATCGCCTACTAGGAACCCGAGCCAGCAGACTTTAATCATCCCACAGATCATTAACAGCTCCTCTTATACTATGGATGTGGCATCCTGCTACGATCCCCCTGTATGTTGTCTAAAAATTACTACAGATAGTTAATCCCCATCAAACACCGATGATGAAAGTTATAATTTAACAACTTCCAAAAGATTACAATTTGAAGACTTTCACATAGATCGATGAAGGTTATAATCTGACGACCTTCGTAATAACTGATGAAAGCTCTAATCAACAGTCTTCACAATCAACATCGGGAGTTACAATCTGACGACTCTCATATTTTCAAGGAGCCAAGATGAGGATTACAAGATGATGATTTTTGCAACGTTCTAGCAAAAGAGACTATAAGTTGATGGTCTCTTCAAATCAAAATGCAGATATCTCTCAAACCGTAAGGAATTTGGTGAAACGGACAGGAGCAAACTGAACCCTATAAGGTTGGTTTGGTTGGTTCCGTCTTGTTGAGGTAGTTGATTTATATATATAATTCGTCCGATTTCGACTTATGGTTTAAAAGTTATGACATGTTCTTCGCGACAAGTTATGTTCTGAAGTCCGTCTACAAAACTGGGCTTCTCCTGAACATTGGACTTAGCCTGAAGCTCGCCAAGCTTGCATGTGTCTCGCCTTTGCATTCCAGAGTCAAAACATAGGGCTCATGCCTATGTTCCAGAGTAAAAACGCAGAGGTTATGCTCGTGTTCTAGATTCAAAACGCAGAGGTCATGCCCGCGTTCCAGATTCAAAACGCAGAGGTCATGCTCATGTTCCAAAGTCAAAACACAGGGATCATGCCCGCATTCCAGATTTAAAACGCAGGGTTTGTAGACGTGTTTCAGACTCAAAACGTATGGCTCACTATTACGTTCCCCGTTTAAAAAGCAGTGCCCGCATTCCAGAGGTTATGCTTGAATGTAAAAGCCGAATGCCAAAATGCAAGAATTCGGTTCTCTTGAATGCCTAGAATTATGATTGCCAAAAGCCTCTTTTTCTATAGCCATTCATGGTTTTTTATAGAAGGAGATGGCCAAAAGTCCCTTCTTCTGAAGACTGGATATTAGATTTTGCTATGGCGGTGCACGCTTGTAGCAGATTAGATTATTTTGATTTGTTTTAGGAAAAGATTGACTAGGTAATCATACGAGATGACTCAGTTTGTCAAGTCTTAGGCTTTGGAATGGTGAGAATCAAAATATTTGATGGTTTCATCCATACTTTGGGTGGTGTGGTGTATGTCCCAAAGATGCAAAAGAATCTGATATCCTTGAGCTTGTTAGAATCCAAACGGTATGGCTATTCATCCCAAGGGGAAGTCTTGAAAATCACATGAGGTAAGAAGGTACTGATCAAGGGAAAGAAGCATGGGGGATTATATTGTCTGAGAGGAAATACTATAATCCGGATAGGTGATCTGGAGTGATGTGCACAGGTTGGAAAAGTTTCTCAGGATGCCTTAGGTGTTGAGGTAGTTTCATGTTCCCATGGTTCAAATGATGGTTATGGATAAATCCTATTGTTGGAGTGGTCGTGTCGAGTGCTTTTTCAAAAGTCAATTGATGAAGATTGACTTGTTCAAGTTACACATGTTGATTGGCTAATATATTAAATTAGGATAAGACAATACCTCTTACGTGATTCGGGTTGTGTGTAGCTGGTGCTTCTTGGTGGCCAATGGTATTCTCTTTATGGTTTAACAAAGAGATGGATTTGTCTATTTGTGGTCCAGTAACCAAATGTTTGTTGTGATCTCTATAGTTGCAAGGTGAATGTGCTAGTTATCTCCTCAGCATCGGGTCGGAGGAGAAGATTGTTGATGGTTCATCCCTCTTGAAGGCTTAGCGAGCACGTATTGAGAAGCTTGTAGAGAAAGTTAGCTTCGGAGAGCAAGCCTCACGAGCTATTTAAAGGGAGTTGTGAGCCTTGGGAGAGACACGCAATGAGAGGTAAAAAAAGTATAGATAAGTATTTATGAGAGTGTTCTTTGGATACTTTGAGAGTGGGCGTATTAAGGGTTAAAAGTCTAGGTCAGTGAATGATTTAATTGTAATTTTATTGTATTATCTGAAAGAAGTAAATAATGAATAGCTCTCGGTTGTGGTTGTAGGCTGTTTTGATGAACCACATAAATCTCTTATGTTGACTTGCATCTAGGTGTGTCCAAAAGGCCTGTCGGCCCGGCCCGGGGTTAGCTCGGAAATTCGGGCCAGAACCGGGTCCGGGCAGGCTCGTCGGCACCCGAGCCCGGTCCAGAATAGTTAATTAGGCTGTTTTGATGAACCACATAAATCTCTTATGTTGACTTGCATCTAGGTGTGTCCAAAAGGCCTGTCGGCCCGGCCCGGGGTTAGCTCGGAAATTCGGGCCAGAACCGGGTCCGGGCAGGCTCGTCGGCACCCGAGCCCGGTCCAGA